TGAAAGAGAAAGAAGGCAGTGCTGACACTGGCGGAGTTTCCCTCTCCAATGAGGAAGCTTCTTGCACCATATGTGATTTCTCTGCGAGCCTGTTTCCTTTCCGTGCCCGCACCACTCACAATCAGATGGGTGTGCAGTGAGGCAGCCAGGGTAGCTGAGACCTCAGTCCTGCCCTGGGAGCACAGGCAGACATGGCCCTGCAATGGATGTTTCTCCTGCTCCTCACACCTCTGCTGGCAGCACAAAATCGTGGTAAGCCCTATCCCGACCATTATGGAAAACCCCAGGGAAGAGGTAAGCAGTGCTCCCTCCTTGAAGTCTGACGTCCACACTGGGGCCCAAGTCCACCAAGTGGGCTGTGGTTAGGCAGAGCTCTATTTGGGGATGGAGGGCAGCAAAGCTTGGGGTGCTGGGAAAGCCTCTGCAGAATTTGTAGTGTTCCTCCATGGAGCTGGAAATACAAGGTGTCCATCTGTCCTGGCCCAGTGTCAGGTGCCATGTCCTCACCACACAGGAGATGGGTGCTGCTGCTTGACCAAGACCTGGGGAGCCACGAGCTGAGCCTCTGGGTATCCAGGAGAGTCTGGGGACAGGACTTTTCATATTCTGGGATTGCTCTTTAATGCACTTCCTTGGTGCTGGAAGGATCAGGCAACGCCCAGGGTTCTGCCAGGCTCTTCCTTCCCTGGCTGCACACTTTGATGCCAGCAGAGTCAGTTGAAATTTGCAGGCTCGCATGTTGTCTGTCCTCCCAGGAGCCTGCACTGTCTGCCAATTGAGCTGTGGGTGCAGGAACTGTGACCTTGCATTGTTCTGTATCTGTCTTGGAGTATTTGTCTAAACTAATTTTCTTGGAGCTAGGTGATAAAAATCATTAAACTTGGAGATAGGTGATAAAAATCATTAAACTAGCATCTAACCCTGTCACCCCGCTCCGCTGTGGTGTTGTACCTGGGTGGATGCAGGCTAGAGAAAACAGCTGATCTCGTGGCTGTGACAGAGTACAGGGAATGGGACCAGAGACTTTAATTGCTGATGTGCAGTGGCACCAGGCTCTGTACTCTGTGAGAGGTGTCATGGGAGCCTGCTTCCAAGGGAAAACGTGTGTGGTTGCAGAGAGTGTAAGCACGGCACACTGTCACACAAAAAACAAGGGCTAAAACTGCAGCAGAGGATATTCTCCTGCCCAGAGTGTCTTCCCATTGCCCAGATCCCTGCTGAAGCTGTTCTCCCAGGCCAGCAAGCGCAACCATGGCATCCTGTTTGTTTTCAAGGTGCACACTAAGACCAGGATCTGCCTGTGTTGTGTACAGTGGAACAGGGCCCTGTAGGCCTGCAGACTCTTGTCACACTCTGCAGATCTCAGTCACCCAGCCATCCCCAGAGGAGTCTGGCACTGCCTGTGTGACACAGATGATATTGCTGAGTTTGCACCTTGGAGCTGGTGAAAAGAGGAACCAAGACAAAAACATCTGCTGGCCACACCCAGCAGTGTGAGCAGCCCCGCCTGCATCCTCAGCATGCGGGCTCATCCCATCCTGGCACCTCTGCTGAGCTCCATCCTGATGGATCAGGGTCCTTCTCTTGCAGAGGGTCAGGGCAAGGAAGATGACCCGAGTGAGGCAGGAGGGTCTCTCCTGTCCCTGCTAGGGTGGAATGGGCTGACAGTGGCAGTGGGGCAGGGTAATGCTGTTGGACACAGAGAGGGAACAATAGGGTGGGATCCCTGAGCACATCCCCTGGCAGATACAGGTACAACCCGTTGTGCACCGTGCCACAGAGAACAGTGCAGGGAACAGCAGTGCAGTGCAGGCACAGGATGTGGTTTTACATGTGGTTTGCCCTGCTGCTCAGCTCACCCCATCATGGTGACACCGTGCACTGAACAGGGTGCATTGTGTTGTTATCCTATTGTCACCTTATTGTCTTGCTGTGCTGTTCTCACAGGGAGTTCTTCCTCCCTGAAATGCCATGCTTGTACTCTCCTCCCCTTACAGCCCCAGTGCACCTGGAAGGCAGGTGGGGAAGCTTCTGGAGCACGTTTTCTGTGCAAAGGCTCTGGCATACAAACTGGCTCTGACCCCTTTTTCATCAGCCTTGCTTTTCACTGTGTAGTTATCTAGTGGCAGCTGACAAAAGGTTCTAACGAAGAGCACAGCTGCAGTGACCAGTGGGTGGGAGGATGGCAGCTGAAACTAAGCTGCAGCCAATCTGAAAGATTTTGTGTCAGCCGAATTCCAAATAGTGCCTAGAGCAGATCCTGCAGGGAACATGAGTGCTAAGAGGTATTGCAGAGGAGTGCCTGGGGCTTGGCACCCTGGGGGTGGTGAATTGTGTGCTCCACTGTGCTTCCACTTTCCATCACCAGGGCACAGATTCAGGAAACATGAATTTTGCCTCCTGTTCTTAGGACACGTGTCAGATATCCTTTAAGATCTCGTGGACCAGTACATGTTCAAATGCCACCATTTCCCAGCTCTTCTCTGGGAAGAGAAGTTGTGCAGTGACTTGCTTTGCCACCCCCTTTCCTGCCAGGACTCCCAAGCAAGGCATCCCCAGGGATGCTCTCTGCTCCATCACACTTAAAGACACCCTCAGCAGCTTTGGTTGTTAGTGAAGAGTACTGACATGCTCTGAGACCCGTGTTTGTGCTCACAGTGCCTTGTAATGCAACTCTCCACTGGTGGAAAGAGTGATTGCTTTTCTTAGCTCCTCTCAGCAAACACATGGCATCAAACTCAGCAGGGCTGCAGTGCACTTTGCTGTCACCTCTCTCAGCTGCTGAGCTGCCCTGCCAAAAGGGTTGAACTTCGCCTACTGCTTCTCAGATTTCACCTTGTCCTTTATTCTTTGCATGTGAGATAATATAGTGTAAGAAAGGACACCTTTTGCTGTTAAGCAAAGGGCTGAACCCAGGAGCCTGACCTGAATTATCAGCATAGGCTGTTTCTCCTTTCTCCTGACCCTCCCTTCTGGCCCATGCTGGGCCTTTGTTGAGCCTGCCAGGCTCATAACTCCTTGCAGGACAGGCAGTCCAGACATTTCTGAAAAAGGCTTCCTATAGTCACGGGTAATAAACAATATCAGAGAGGAGAGTATTCATTTAATAGCATCAACTAGGAAAAAACCTAAAACAGTAAATATCTGCCTTTGGAGGCAAATGGACCAACCTTTTGTTACCACTCCTGTCTCAGCCATTCAATATTTCCCATTTCACAGTGAGCACACATGGCACGTTACAAAAGGTGCCTATTTGGTCACATTTACACTATATTTTCCTTGCTGAAATTTCACTTGACTCAACCTTCTTCCTCTAGCTGGGGCAGAGAGCCTGTGGGCGGCTCTCTGAGTACCACTGTGCAAGGAAAAAATGTCTGAGAACTGTTCCATTACTCTCTCAGTTGCTGTTAATCCCTACGAGGTTGGAAGCTGAGTGTTTCTCTCCCCTTTCTGTCTGAGCACTCTCCTTTCTCCTTTAGTATGCCAGCCATACAAATATATCCAACTGCTTTGCACTAGTGGGGAATTCCATCTCTCCAATGGAGGCCCCTTGACAGCTTCCCATGGACACCTCCAAAGCACACAAAAAGCCACCCTCGTTTAGAGCACAGGCTCCTTTGCTTCAAGGTGACCTTTTCCCACAGCAATTTTTATGGAATTATTTGGAAAGGAGTGTAAGGAGCATGAGGACAGAGATGTCCGTCCCGGCCTGTGCACCCTGACTGCACCCAGCAGCCATGGACTGGTTTCTCCTAATGAGCCTGAAGTGATAATCACATGCCTGGCAGGCTTGGACTTATTGGAGATGTGAGGCCAAGCTGGATTGCAATCAGCAATGTTCTTGAGACGAAAGCAGGCATGCACTGAAAGTGCCTTCTCTTCCCCATTCTGCAGAGAAGCAGAGCTTTCTAGGCTTTACCCTCAAACAATCATCAGAAATGCCACAAGGAGGGACTCTGAGCAGCTGTAGATGCCTGGATGCAGATGGTGCCAGTGCTGTGACAGGGAGCTCAGCTCCTCTGCAGCAGGAGGAATGTGGGCAGGAGGCAAGCCCTGGAGGAGTGTGATGTTTGGGCACAGCTGGCAGGGTGCTCTGTGTGCACGAGGTAAATAGGGTTTGGCAGTCCCTCAGGCTGCCCTACTGGTGTACACTGCCCCTCTGCAAGGCAAGCAAGCTTTTTTTGCCACACCCATCCTTTGTCAGACACTGCTAGCTCCCAGAATAATTTCTGAGGCAGGTGCATTCCCCTGTAGTGGTACTCTCCAGTCACTGGATTCTTTGAGTAAGGGAATGAGCTGTGGGCTCTGCCTGCCTTTTCTGATCTCTCTCACCCAGCCCTTGAGCTCTGCTCAGCATGGTCCATGCCCAGCTTGGATGCAGGTGCTCTGTCAGCCTCCGTCTGCCCCTGATGGGGCACATCTGGCAGGACAAAGGGCACAGGGGAGCCTGGGAGGAATTTAAAAAGTGAGACCAAATAATCACCTCCATTCCCAATTTCAGAGTAATGCTGTAAGACCCATGTTTTATTCTCAATGGCTTACAGTTCAGCTCTCCAATGCAACTGGAAAAACAGTGGTGTTCTCAGTGGAAACAGTGGTTGCTTTTCTTAGCTCCTCTCAGCAAGCACATGGCATCAAACACAGCTCAGAGGGCTTGGGAAGGAAAGGATGAGTTGCAGAGGACAGGAATCCCCCTGGTGCTTGCCAGGGGCCCTGTGGGCAGAGAAGAAGCAAGGAGGAAGGAAGACAGTTTGCCTGCAGGACTGCTTTTCTGTGTAGTCTTTGTGTCTGAAGGGCAGACACACTGCTGGCACACATGTGGTCTTTGCAGAAGCACATTTCACGTGCCCACCCTTGCCTGAGGCTGCATTGGAATCCAAGCAGTATCCCAGCAGCATCCCACCATTCCAGCTCAGCAGACACTGACAGGAACACTGAGGAAAATCTTGATCAAGTCTGCATGTCTGTGTAGGCCTTTTCACCTGAAAAAAAAGACAACAGAGAAGAGGCTGATGTTCCTGCAAAGGATTAAGTCTGATAAGTGCCTAGGTCTAAGAGAAGTGATTGGCTGGAGTCCTGGTGAAGGTGGACACCTGGTCAGAAATGTGTGGCTGTTATGCCAGCTGAGATCATGCAATGCCATCACACTCACTTCCAGCCCAGGAATGTTACACAACACCTTTTTTCTTGTGCCTGTAAACAAGGAAAAGTAACCTGAGTTACAGGTTGCAGGGGGCAAAAGAAGGGACTGTCAGAACGAAGACCATCTTGCTGTGGGAAAAGACCAGGTTTGAGACCATCCGAGGCTCCTGAAGATGCTCTAATCCATGGGACCTGATGTATGTGTGGGTCCTGATGGTGGAGGAACACAAGCCATCATAGCTGAGAAGTTGTAGCCAGCAATTTCCAGTAAAGCTCCCACTGACTGTAAAAGGAGAAGCACAACCCCCTTTTTAAAAAGGGGAAATGAGGAAGACCCAGGGAACTGTAGGTCAGTCAGTCTCCGCTGGTGCCGGGAAAGATAATGGAGCAGTTCCTGCTGGAAGTTATTCTGAGGCACATGGAAATTATTTGTGATGGCTTCAAAAGATCAAACCATATCTGAGCAATTTGTTGGCCTTCTATGGTGGAGTGACAGCATTTGTGGATAAGGGAGGAGTGACTGACATCATCCACCTGGACTTGTGCAAGGCATTTGACACTGTCCTTCATGACATCCTTGTCTCCAAACTGAGAAGGTGTGGATTAGATGGATGGACCACTCCATGGGGGAGGAGTTAGCTGCAAAACTCAAAGTATTGCAGTCAGTATTTTGATATCCACTGGCACAGGATGCCCAGTGAAGCTGTTATGCTCCATCCCTGAAACTGTTCAAGGCCAGACTGCGGATGGCTTTGGACAACCTGGTGTAGTGGAAGGTGTCCCTGTGCGTGACAGGAGGGCTGGAACTAAGTGATCTTCTCTCGGGTTCCCTACGGTGGGGATGACCCCAAGGCAGCCCGATGGTCGAAGAAAGAGTCAGAGGTCTTTGTTTGTGGTTCTCAAGGTCATTTATTGTTGCTTACCTAAGATGTTTTCTGTCTGACCTGCCACAGGCCTGTCTGGCAGGTCAGTTTGAGGCACACTGCCCGCCTCCCGGGCTGGTGCTACCTTTTATACTAAAAACTACGTATATTATGCTTGCAATTATGTTCCAATACCTGTCACCTATGCTAGACAGTGGCTTTCTACTCTCAACCAATCTGTGAGTGCCAACATCACTCTGAACATGGATGCCAGGGAGAAGAAAGAAGAAGGACAGGGCACGCCCAAATCCCTCCACATCTTGGAGCCTCTGACCCCCATGTACAGAATCCCAAACCCCCCTGCACAAGGTTCAAAACCCCCCTGTACATGGTCCCAAAATTTTCCCTTCACCCCGTGCTTACTACTACTATGCTACTTAGACTTTTGTGACCTGTGACTCTTCATACAAGGTTGGTAATTTCTCCCAGGAGCTAAGATTGAATCCCCAAGTGTTTTTGGCCTTCTGCCAGGGCTCGTCAGCTCCCTGCCAAGGGCTCAAGCCATCCAGATCACCCAGAGGGGTGTCCTGGGTTCCGACAATCTTCCTTGGGAACCTTCTGGCCCAAGCCCTTCTATGCTTTTATGAAAAGCTGAATGAGTCCTAAGTGCCTGTAAACAATAATTAGCATAACGCTAATACTACTATGCTACTTAGACTTTTGTGACCTGTGACTCTTCATACAAGGTTGGTAATTTCTCCCAGGAGCTAAGATTGAATCCCCAAGTGTTTTTGGCCTTCTGCCAGGGCTCGTCAGCTCCCTGCCAAGGGCTCAAGCCATCCAGATCACCCAGAGGGGTGTCCTGGGTTCCGACAATCTTCCTTGGGAACCTTCTGGCCCAAGCCCTTCTATGCTTTTATGAAAAGCTGAATGAGTCCTAAGTGCCTGTAAACAATAATTAGCATAACGCTAAATACGCCTCATTTCAGTTGTGCAGAAGTAGCACCTTTTAGTAAACGGAAAAATTACAAACTTTAAACAAAGACTAGCTCTCATTTTTGCTACAGTAAGTCTGCTTTGTACTGCACCTCTAAAGCAGCGACCATGAGGTGTAGCTTTTTCACACATAGAGTTACCTCCGCTCCCTGCAAGGAAGCTGGCAAGTCTAGAGAGGTTCATTCACAGTTATTTCAGCAGTAAGAGCTTTGCTCTTTGAAAAGACTCAGGAAGGGCTGCAAGCAAGGCAGAGCTCTGTTGTGAAGCTGCAGTCACCCTTGCCAGCAGAGCATCCATGTTTGTGGAAAGATGCTGTCCCAGATACCGCTTGAAATCTGCACCTGCGTCAGCAGAGTTCCTGCAAAGGAGAATTTCTCTCTTCCTCCTGGTTTCCTGCCCAGCAGCTTGCCATGTGTGGTGCTGCAGGTGGGTTTTGGGTGCTGTCGGAGCACTCACAGCTACCGGTGTGGAACAGTTACAAAAGGAAAAATGGTGAGGCCCCCTCGCACTGAAGTCAAGAGTGGGGCCATGTAGGAGACCAGCCACGCTCATGAGCATTCACAACCCCCTCAGGTCCTAAGGCTATGTCCCCTGCAGAATTCCCATCCCCTCAAACTGCTTCTTGCTTCAGGCCAGACCTCACATGACTCTTTTCAAGCAACTTTCTTCACATTTCTGTGGTACCTCTAGGATCAAAGAATACCCATCAGTGAATAATCTTCATAGAAGAATGCTTCAGGGCCCTGAAATGCAAATTAAAACATGGGAAATGCTTTCATGAGTAGCTCTCACCTGCCTGAAACACTTGATTCTCAATTTGCCAGTCTGGGGGTATTTTTTTTACACTTATTTGCCAGGGGTTTCATTCTGTCTGGGGAGGTGCAGCTGTTGTGGTCGGCTACTGCAGGAGGTCTGCAGAGCACTCCTGGTTTCCTGGGGAGTCCTCATGCCACTTGGGTGTTGTAGGAAGCAATGCAAACTCTCTGTGCCTGCCTGACTGGACGCTGGTAATGCTGGACAAAGTTTGGGTGTCTACAGCTAAATTTGTATGGTGGAGGAACACTCACAGAGAGTTACAATTCTTATGGGAAAACTGGGACCTGATCAGAGGGTAGAGACCCGAATGCAGAGAGCCAGAAGCACTCCTGTCTAGAATTTAATGGAAATTAATATGAAGATTTACTTAAATCAATTGCCCAATCCATATGTTGCAAAACACAACCAAAAGTGGTGAAATACTGGGGAAATACCTACATGCAGTCCCTGTTAAGCCCATTCTGCCCACTCAGATGAGGGGGTGTCACTCCTCTTGGGTGAGGATGAGAGGGATATGGAACGGGAGGTAGCTGATCCTAGGAGCCAGCAGATAATTGTGAGAGGGATTGAGCAGAGGAAATAACAAGTGTAACATCCAGAAAAAAAGCAAAGTGGCAACTTGAGTGGGATTTTGCTGCAAACAAGTCTACCTGTGAGTGTAAGCAGATCATGTCCAGCAGAAGGACAGGAATGCTGATCAGTGGTGTCAGCAGAGTCTGGGGCACTCCCACAGCCCCTGTATTTGTGGGAGAGAGCAGCATCCCCCAGGCTGCTGGACCCCTCTGACTGGGGTGTCTCCAAGCAGCAGGATAACCGTGTGGATAACCCTCCTGCAGTGCCCCTGAGGCTGTGGGGAGGGATAAAGCATCTGGGGGATGGGGCTCATCCTGGAGGTGCCATCTCTGTCACCCCTCTGAAGAGAGAGGAATTGGCACCCCTCTGGATGGAGCTCCCTCATCCTCATGGATGCTGCTGGAGCCCAATGACCCTCAGGCTCTGCCTCCTGGCCTTTGCACACAGGAAAATGTAAAATTCCCTCCGACTGGGACCCCAAACTGCGGTTTACTCCAGAGAGGAGTGACTTTGCCTTGAACGAAGTGGTGCAGCTCAGCTGTGAAGGGAAGATTCCTGGGAAGTTTGCACCATCTGTCCCGCAGATTCAATGCATTTCCAGAGGGGGCCGGATCCTGTGGAATGAGATTCCCACTTGCAAGGGTGAGCACAGCCCTGCACCACCCTGACCCAGGGTCCTGAGCTGGTGGCAGACCCTCTGTGGCCTGGTCATGCACATGACAGTGCAGGAATGGCAGACCCGCATGCCTTGGCTTTCCCCGTGTCCTGGCACTGACAAGGCTCTTTTTGTCTCAGCACCTTGCTGCAGGCACCTGCTGGGGTCTGTGCTCAAGGGTCCCTGCACTGGGGGCTGCTGTAAGCCCTGTGCCTTCCAGCAATGACTGGGTGTATGGCCACGGTGGTGGGAGGGGATGGAACTCTGTGTGAAGACTGGGAAGGAATTCAGTCCCTGCCCAGCCTTTTCCAAATGCAGCCTGAGTTGGGAAGCCTGCAAGACTGTAGTAGGCATGGATGGGACTGCTCCATTGCTGCTCTGCTGCCTGTTCTAGGCTGCAAGAGAGGGATCAGTAGCTGAATGTGGTAACCAAAGGAGATGGGCCCTGTCCAAATCAGAGCAAGAGATATCCCAGCAGACCACTTCCCATCCTGCCTACATGAGCTCCTTCACCTCTCCTCTGTGCGGAGAGATGCCAGAAGCCCCAGTGGGGCTCACAGCTCCAGTTTAGCCCAAACCAGACATTTTACTGGGTCGGTGAAGAGGTGACACTGAGCTGCTTTGTGAACAACTCTCCTCCCCTCGCTACGGTCAGATGTGCAAAGAATGCTTGGAGGTGTTGGACATGTCAGGAACATGGCACAGGTTGGCACAGAGCCTGAGCTGCACCAAGGGTAAGTTGGGAAGCAGTAGGTCTCCCGTGCAACGTGCACTTCTCACTGGACATCGTGCTGTATCTGTGAGACAGCAGATAACCCTGGGCACTGCTCAGAGTCAGGTCCCAGTTGGGAGCAGTCTCCAAGATGGACAGGGTTAGAAGCTTTCAGTGTGGGAAAGGTTTTCTCTATCCCTGCATCTTCCAGTCTATTCCTGAGTTGTATGTCACAGGGAAGTTGGAGGGGATCCTGCCCCTCACTTTTCACCTCTCTCCCAGTGCCCTGTGTCACCTCCTTGCCCAGGCACATGCTCTTTTTCTGCTCTTGGCGGTCCTTGGGCTTCCTCATGGTGTTGAATGCTGACATTAACCACAGCTCATCATGGAAAAGCCTTGGTCCCTCCCCTGCCTGAGCATTCACTCACTGAGTACGATTCTCACACTTTCTCCCTGACAGCTAAATGCCGAAAACCTCAGTGGGATGCAAGACTTCAGTTTTTGGAGAACAAACCTGAATACCCACAGAATAGAGAAGTGACACTGACCTGTCCTGAAGGCCTTGAGCCCTCCTTCTCCGAGGTCAAATGCACAAAAGAAATTCAGAGAGTGACTCCTGGAAAGCCAGTCTATGTGGATGCCTGGTGGGGCAGGAGCAGCACAGGTGCCTGGACACGCATTGAGGGGCATGTCCTGTGTATGGGTAAGTGACTGAGCTGCCCTGAAGGTTTCCAGCCGTCCTTCACCGAGATCCAGTGTCAGACTCAATTCCAGTATGATGATCATTATGGGACACCTGTGTACGAAGAATTTTGGCTTAGTAGAGACTCCAGTGGTGCCTGGGTGCCCATTCTCTCCAGTGTGGAGTGCATCGGTAAGGGAGGGATCAGGAGTAGGATAATCCTTTGCAGGGGGATATCCTGAGAACATCTCTGAGCTGGGACAGCATGGGAAGGTCAGGGTTTTGCCTTGGGCCCAGCACTGCTGCCTCTGGGCTGTGATGTAACCCAGGGGACACAGCACCCTGGCTTTCCCCTGTTCTCCCCAAAACGTCCTGATGTTTGACTGAACAGGAGCGCTTCTGCCACTGGAGAAATTCACCCAATGGTTCCCATTCAATTTCCTAGTGCACCATGACCCCAGACTCCTCCTGCTCCCCTTTCAGAGAGCTGCAGTGAGCACCCTCAGTCTCTCCCTTTCCATCCAGCCCGGCTGGGGTGCCAGGGGACAAAGCTGCTGGTTGTGGTGCTCAGCTGGGCATCTCTGGTCTTCTGCCACCAGGGCTCTTGGAGAGCAAAGCCTCTGCACAAGGGCTTCTCACAGCACTTCCCTTTGTGGCAAAGTTGGTCTGCACCTTGGGAGATCCCTTCTGTGCCCCTTTGGGAGAAGGCAGGTTGTCTTTTGAACCTCTTCAGGCCTCACAAACCTTCTTGCAGAGCCTTCAACAGACAAGGGGTCCTGCCACAAGCCAGCATCCTTCTCTGTGGGAATCACTGCCACAAAGCCTCCCCCTGCAGCACTGGACAAAGTGCTGGGGCCAGCTGCTCAGCCACTGCCTACTGAGCCGGGAGGATGGTGAATCTGGTGGGGAGGTGACGAGAAGAGGGAAGGGCTGTGCCAGGAGAAAGGGGCAGGGGCACTGGTAAAGCAGGAGATGGGAATGCAGAAGGCACTGCTCAGCCCCTGTCCCCCTGCCCAGCGGGGGACAGTGCCTTCACTGAGCAGCCAAGGAGGCACCGAGTGAGTGAGAACAGGGAGCCCCGAGGGGAACAGGGGCGTGCCTGATCCCTGTGGCAGGGATGAGCCATGGCTGAAGGGCCCTGCCTGCCAGCAGGAGTGGTGCTGCCATGGCCAGCAAGTGCCACCTCAGCTGGGCTGGGTGACAGGCCTGGGTGACAGGCTGGAGGGAGTGCCCTGGTGCAGGGCTGAGTGTCCTGGGAATGTCCCTGCTCTGGGCTTTGCAGGAGGCAATATGGTGCCCGTGGACACACTGTGGATGGGGCAGGCTCATGGATGAGTGATCCTTCACACTTTCCATGAATCTGGAAAGCCCCTTTCCAACAAGGCTTGCCCTCAGCTCACATCCCAGCCCATGGATGTGTCACCTTCCCTCTCCCTTCACTGCCTGGATGGGCTGCTGGGATTTCTCTCCCACCACTCCCCCATACTCACTTCATCATCTCATCATCTCCAGCCCTTCTAACACCAACTTTCACCTCTGACAGAAATGTGCCAAAGGCCCCAGTGGGACTCCAGACTCCAGCTGGCACCAGATCAGGAGAACTATAAGAAGGAAGAGAAAGTGATGCTGAGCTGCCCTGAAGGTTTCCAGCCACCCTTCACTGAGATCCAATGTCTGACTCAAATCCAGTATGATGATGCATATGGCACACATGTGTACGAAGAATTTTGGTCTGGAAGAGACTCCAGAGGTGCCTGGGTCCGCATTCAGTCCAATGTGGAGTGCATTGGTAAGGGAGGGATCAGGAACAGGATAATCCTGTCAGCACTGTGAGGATGGAGGCTGTGGAAGCAGCTCCTGCTTCCAGGCCAGGAGGAAATGGCTCCTGTTGTGCTCTCCCATGGCCCCAAAGGATGGCTGCAGCCACACAGCTCAGAGGGTTCGGGGGAGGCAGGATCCCTTTGCTGCTCCCTCTAAGATGTGATGTAGTTCAGGGGACACAGCACCCTGGCTTCCCACTCTTCTCCCCAAAACGTCCTGATGTTTGACTGAACAGGAGCGCTTGTGCCATTGGAGAAATCCACCCCATGGTTCCCATTCAATTTCCTAGTGCACCATGACCCCAGACTCCTCCTGCTCCCCTTTCAGAGAGCTGCAGTGACAATCTTCAGTCTCACTTTCCCTCCCACCGTGTTGGGTGATGAGCAAGGTTGTCTGCCCGCAGCTTCCTTGCATGGCTTGGGTGGGAAGGGACTAAAGTGACCTTCTGGCAACCTTTCCTTCACAGAAGTGCTCCAGGTTGACCATAACACATTTGAGCCAGGGTAGATGTAGTGGAGTATTGCCATACTTTGGCCTTCATAAAAGTTCTCTATACTTTGCGACTATCTATGGTAGATTCGGCTTTGGATATCCTCAGGACTCTTGGGTAGTTGGGGGCCCAGTGGCCACTGGAGATTGCACATCCTCCCTGCCATCACCATATATTTAGTTCAAGTCCCAGTAATCCCCTGGTGTATTTGCAACCCCTCAATGCAGATACCTCACTTGGCAGTGTCTGGGGCCTTCAGGGACACATGGTCCACAATGGAGGGTATCACACCAAGCTAGCACCTGCTTCTTATGCCCCAGCTCAGCTTTTCTCTAATGCAAAGCCTGGGATGGAAGACAAGGGAATTTGCTTTTCTCTCCATGTGCCTGTGGGATGTCCCGATGCTTGATTCAGGCTGTGCAGGAGCCTGAGCCTGGGCTGTGCTGCTTGCAGGGCAAGAGCCGTCATCTCTGCTGGACAGCAAGCCAGTGGTTATGGCAGTAGCACTGACTGTTGCATTCCTGGCACTGGGGATTTTGCTGCTTTTTGTGGTCTTCAGGTCAGTATGTGCCTCACCTCTCCTGCCCTCTGTGAGGCATTCAGCAGCTTGCAGTGGCAGGGAGTGTCTAAGTGGAGCCTGAAATGAGGCAGGGTGGTTAGATGGGCAACAGCTTCTCCTCTGTCTCTCTCTTCTGCTGGCCTGTGCACTTGACTTGCTGTTTTGCAGGCTAAAGCGCAACAGTTCAAAAGGCTCAGAGAACAGCAGCACTATACCCCTGAGAGGATGTCAAAAAGGTGAAGTATGAGCCTTGTGCCTTGTGCCTTGTGTGGACTGACTGTCTGTTAAAAGCACAGGCAGGATGTTTGCAGGTTCCACAAGTTCCTTGCAGGAACAAGGGTGATCAAAGCTGGCTGGCACAGGGAACGGGACTCCTCCCAGGAGAAGGGACCTGTGTGGGGAGGGACAGTCTTAAGGTTTGGAGAAGTTCTGGCCACTGCAATGCCATCTCAGTCCCAGCTGCAGCATTCCAGAACTGGCCAGTTTAGCACCAGCTGGATGCTCAAGTCCTGTCTTGTGGTGTCTGCAGATGTAGGCAAGCCAAACACAGAGATCCTGGTGGAGGAATTGCTGGAGGCTCTGAAGATGTTTAAGAGGGAAGAAATAGAGGCAGAGCAGACAGATGATGAATCAGTCAACAGGCATAGTGCTGGACTTCTTAGAGAATATCAGGTCTGGTTTAACTTTGCTTTTCCACCTGTCTGCACAGCCCCCTCCTCAGCCCTTCCCTGGATGTGTGATGCAGTTGGCCTTGGCCAGCCCCAGAATATATCTCAGTGTTGAGTGGGATAACAATACTTGTTTTCTTCCTCTGCAGCAATTGTCCTCCACTTTGTTGCACCCTTGCAATGCTGGCAAGGAGCTCTGTAATCAAAACAAGAACCGCTACAAGAGCATCATCCCATGTAAGCAGAGCTCTCCAAGGACTGGCTCAGGCTCTTGGAGCTTGCTGGGATAGCACAGTATGCTGGGCTGGTGCCCCTCCAGCACTTCAGAAATACTGAGCTACTAGTGTCATCCTCCATGGCCACTGAATCCCAGAGAAATTTCTGGCCTCACTCTTTTATATCCTGTTCAAGCATCCTTGTTCTGCTCTTCAAATCTTCCTGCAAACTTAATCAAACATCATATTCCTGTTCCTGATGCTAGTCATTGCTGAACACTACCATGTCCTATCCAGGTATTTGTGGGAAAGTGGAAGGAGTGACCTAATTTCTTCCAAACTTTAAAGCTCCTCTGGGCCTCACATGGTGTGTACATTTGGCCATTTCATAATCTTCCTTAAAACTCCATTGCACTTCCTGCTGTGCCATGTCACCCTTTGTCTCATCAGCTGTTCTTTTACCCTGAACATGTCCTGAGGCCTCAGGTGCTGCTGGGGAGGCTACAGACAATCATAGACTTTAATAAATTACGCCTTCCCCCTTAATCAGTCTCTTTGTTGCTGCCCTAAAGCATCAGCCCACCTCCCTTTTCTTTCAGATGATCACTGCCGTGTGGTGCTGGAGCCCTCTGACACCGGGAATGGCTACATCAATGCCAGCTATGTGGATGTAGGTAGTGAGGAAATGTTATGCTGAGAGGGGCAGGAAAGGTGCCTGGCAGGAGGACAGTCCTGCTCACACAGGGGGCCCTGAGGTCTGGCACTTTTTACCCTTAAGCTGGCAGGTTTTGGGATGTTGCTTCCTCTGAATCCTCTCTGAGCTGCCTGGAGTACTCTGGGTTTGTGTGCACTTCTCACCTCTAACAAAAAGGGACCCATGTGAAGGGACAGGGACTGAGATGCTGCCCCTGGGTACTCACTGTCTGTGCTGGCCAGGAGAGGTGCTGTGGGACACACTGTGCTGAGAGTTCTAGGCTTTGGTACCTGGGGGATGGATCCTTTATTTCATTCCCTGTTAAACATTTAACTCATCTGATCAGAGCTGTTTGAATCTCTCCCCTGCAGACCTACCGAAGTCCACGCTTCTTCATTGCAGCTCAAGGTAGGTGCTCCCAAACTTCCTCCTCAGGAGATGCTGTTCACTACCCTGAGCAATCTGGGAAATGGGGAACTGGGATAGCAGTCAGGGAGCTGTGAATGGCTCACTCCAGTTCCCTGTATCTTCAGGATCTCTGGAATTGTTCAGCTCTTTCTGAACAGTTGTTACAGATGCTACAGAGCATGGAAGGTCTCGATGGTAGCTTGGCAGCAGCTGGAGCTGGTGAATGCACTACCCAGTATGAGGACACAGTCCTTCCACTCACAAGCCTAGTTTGTTCCCTTTGGCAGCTGGTATGACAGGGACAATCCAGCAAATGCCTGGGACGTCTGCACCCAGTGCACTCGGATACAGTCTCTCCCCAGTAGTGCAAAGCCTGCATGGGTTTGTCTGCTCTGTGCAACATGCAGTGAGGAGGTCTTGGCTTCCTGCAGAGCTGCAGAAATGGTCTTTGGAAAATAGGGCCCCAAATGTGGGAACTGACAGTCATCTCAAGGTCTGCATGCTGGAGTCCCTAAAGCAGCAGTGAATCCCTGACACGGGCTCATCTTCCCTCCCTTCTCCTTGTCCTAATTTCTAACATGGTAATGAAGCTGATGTGGCCAGCACCCCCTCCAGGTGCTGATGTCCCCTGGCTGTGCCTCAGTGTCTAGGCAGGGGAAAGCCTGGGAATGCCCAAAAATATGCCCATGGCTTCGACACTTGCATAGGGGTCTCCTCTTCCTTCCTAAGGCCCCTTGGCTGGGACAGTGGTGGATTTCTGGCACATGGTCTGGCAGGAGAAGACCTCAGTCATTGTGATGCTTACGGGCTTAGTGGAGCAGAACAAGGTAGAGAAAACCCCTCAGCCCATTCTCAGCTTGGGCATTGCCCAAGCTCAGGCTTCCACAACTGCTGTGCTCCCAGTGCAGCTGTCTGTGGGAGCAGGGAGCAGCTCAGCACCCCTGCAATGCTCTCCTTGTGAGTTTTCCTGTGCCCAGAGATCTCACTGCTGTTGACAGATCAAGTGTGAGCAGTATTGGCCAGAGCAGGAGCAGGTCTACGGTGACTTCACCGTGACACTCAACAACACCTGGACCACCACAGGCCTTGTCAAACGCATCTTCTGCCTGCAGAAGGTAAGCCTGGCATGGGGCTGAGGTGGGAATGCAGGATGTGTTTGGGTTCCAGCAGCTGGTGGGAGCTGTTAGACATGGACCCTGTGGAGAGCCCAGCTGCCAGCACAAAAAGGAGCAATGTTGGCAGGTTGCTATAAATGGAATCCATGCCAGCCCTTCACTCCCATGTTTCTGTGCCAGGCAAAGGCAGTCAGTCAGCTCCAGTGGTCACCCCAGAGTCTGGACTGACGTTGCACATGGGAATATTGCAGATTCTTGAGGGCTTGGGTGAGGTGATTACAAAGAGTATAAAAGCAGATCAAGGGTATAGAATGGAATCTCTGCACATCCAGGAAGATGGGACAGGTGCCTGCCTGTCACCTGAATCAATCTGCAGAAGATCCACACTGAAGCTCCTTGGGTCACTTACAGCCCTAAACCAGGGCACGTAGTTTATGGTTTGAGAGAACCTCCGTAAGGTGATTTCCCAAGATGTGTGCTCCTGCTGAAGTGACACCTCAGATAAAGGGCAGAAACTGAAGGAGTTGCAAGGAGGGAAACCAGGTACAATAGAAAGAAATTGCAGTGATGCATATTCCTGTGCTGTCTTGTCTTGCCCAGAGCAATATGTAGCTGAAACGTAAAGCTCCAAGAGCACCTGATGATAAGATGTAGCATTAGTTCATGCCAAGGTGAATGTGATGTTTAGGGAAAATCACAATGGGCTGGTAACAAGTGACTACATTCGCATCAGTGTAGTAACAGCCTTAGGGTATATCTTTTCTGGGCAAGCCAGGGGTGGAAATACCCTAAGCTGTGATTTGTATCATTTCCCTCTGGGGCAGAAGCTGCTTTTCCTGCTTCACATTCACTGCGCACGGTGAAGCACAGTTTTTCATTCACTGCTCACAGTGAAGCAGAGAACAAAAAGAATTGTGTGGCTGTGTACTGGGTGAATCTGTCCTTTACTGTCTGAGGAGCTCTAGTGAGCAGTCCTTATGGTGTGGTGCTGGAGGCAGCACTCTGTGCTGGTGCCCCCTCAAGTGGTTTTCTCCACTGCTGCCTCCTTGCTGCCGTGCAATCTCTTCGCACAAGTGTCCTGGTCACTTGCAGCTCCCCGTTGCCAGCCATGTCTCCCTTTTTGCAGGCGGGCTGTGCTCTCCCAAGAGCAGTGGAGCAGTTTCACTACCTGCTGTGGCCGGACCACGGGGTGCCCAGAAACCCGTCGCAGCTGCTGTGCTTGGTGGAGGTGGTGAACAAGAGGGCGCTGGAAGCACCCGCTGGACCCGTGCTGGTGCACTGCAGGTACGGCGCTGGGCGCTCGGCTGCCGGGGCACAGCCTGCAGGGGCAGCGCTGAGCCGCGGATTGCCGTGTCCTCAGCGCAGGCATCGGGCGCACGGGTACCTTCATCGCCCTGGACTTCCTCCTGAAGATGGGGAAGGCTGAGGGCAAGGTGGATGTCTTTCACTGCGTGCAGCAGCTGCGGGAGCAGCGGGTCAGCATGGTACAGACCAAGGTGAGGAATTTGCTCTCTCCACACCTCGGGCTGCAGATCCAATGCCCACCGGTGGGAGTCCACACAGGCGGGTGGCCAGCACAACCACAAAACCCTGGCTGAAATGCCAAGAGAACATTTATTTCATTACCTCGCTAGCTGGAGGATGCCAGGAGGTAACACAGCAGTGGGAACACCAGCACCAGCAGGATCAGTCCATCCTGGAGAACAGTGGGGCTGCTCGTTTCACCCATTTAACAAAGGCCTGTGCATCTGTAGTTTACCAGCTGGGCTGTGATCTTCTCTGTGTCTTTGTGATCTCTGGTCTTTGATCCCTCCTAAAACAGGGAGCTCAGCCATGTTCATGACAATGGCCTCCAGGTCTCTGTGAACACCAGCGTTCCCTCTACACAGATTCTACTCCCCAAGGCAGCCAGAGGATAAACAGCAGTAGGCTGTTTATACACCATATTTAGGATTTTTCCATTGTCATTTTTCAGACCTTGGTATTCCCAGCTGTAAGGCCACTTGAGACAATCCACCATACTCCTTCTGAATGAAAAGCCATTCTTCTGCTTTAAACCTTTTGCTTCAACACCACCCTTCCCAGGGATGTGGTTTGCAAAGCCACATTAGCCATGCTGTTCCTGATCCAGCCACAGGGACTAGGACTACCAGGTGACGGAAACTGAAGGATCTTTTTCAATGCTGTGTCCAAAGCTAGCTGGAATCTGCATTTCCCTGAGACTCTCTGAGCTATATCAGCAGCATTTGTATGTATTGGTCACCCTGACACAGAAGGGCTGTCTTGTAGGCAAGGATAATGAACAATAGTCCACCTGTCCCTCCGGCTTTCAGGATGTCTGCCCTCCTGGCAGCTCCTGGGCAGCAGTGCCCTGGCCTAGGGACTCTGTCCCCATGATCTGCTTAGTGCTGGGCTCCTTCAGAGAAAGCCAGGTTGGGCTGGACCTACCAGCCTCTTGCAGCAGGTCTGATTAGTCTGCAGGTTTTCCGGGCTGCCTTCCCAGAGCAGGGCTCTGGTCTGAGAGGGAGCACTAAGCCTCAGGAAGATGATCTTGTCTGGGTTGCTGGAGTTGCTGGCTGTGTCCCACAGCAGGGCTGCCTGCAATGACAAGTGTCTGGCCTCAGGGATCCGCAGCAGGAAGGTGAAGGTTGAACGTGGCTCACTTCTGGCACAGTCTGAGGACAGCTGGTGATCTGGAGCTGCAGGGTTCCTCCTGGAGTGGCTCCAGCCTGTGCAGCTGACTGTGTCCTCCCTCAGGAGCAGTACAGCTTCCTGTACGAGGCGCTCCTCGAAGGCTTGCTCTGCGGCAGCACCGGGGTCCCCGTGGAGAGCATGGCCAGCCTGGTCCGCTCCCTTCGAGAAGAGGAGGCCTCAGGCCACAACAGTGTCCTGGAGAAGGAGTTCAAGGTACCGCCAGGAGACGCTGCACTGGTGCTGTGAGGGCTCGTCTGTGATGCCAGCCCCCTCCCTGCTCCCCTCCCCAGCACTGGGATGGAGATGGGGATCATTTCTCTGCCGTGGCCCCAGAGGGTGAGTTGCTGACAGGCCAGACTGACTTGGGTGAATCCTCTCTACAGGCCCTGCAGAGATTTTCGGAGTTGTTCCAGCTCCTGCCATGCAGAGAAGCGGAGAAACCCAGAAACCAAGCCAAGAACCGCAAGCCAGGGATCTTGCCAGGTAACACTGGCAGGGCTGGGCAGCCTCTTGCTCTAAACCCAGAGCTGACAGCAGCATGGGGGGAACAATGCTTTCCTGCTGCTTCCCTCCCTGGCACATGGCACTGACAGCTTGGGCTCAGGGTCCAGGCGTTGTTTTATGGTTACTGCATAATTAATAGAGATTAGGCCGATTCCTTCTGAGCCTGTTGGAGGTACATGAGGTACACCTGGGACAAGCATGTCCCTGGTCTAAACTTTCCAGTGGAGAAGCTCAGATGAGGCACATCAGGGAGCACTGAGGAGGCTGCATCTGCTGTGCCCCCAGTCACAGGGTTTTTGGCATCCCTCATCAGGGTGTCCTGAGCTGTCACAGCCGTGGGTGCGGTGGTGCCTGTCCGTTCAATCCTCTCCAACCCATGCTGCAGGGAGCTGTGCAGACTGTACGTGTTGCAGGAAAGCCCCTGCCTGTCTGCAGGGAGAGGACCACCCATCCTTTCCCCCTCTCTGCTCCTTGCCTCCGCAGCGGATTCCTGCCGGCCCATCCTGATGTCCTCGGTGAACGCAGACGGCTCGCCAGCTTACATCAACGCCGTGTTTGCCAGCGTAAGGCTCCGGCGGCCGCGGGAGCTGCAGGGGCAGCCGGGGCCTCCTGCGCAGCCCTGCTGCAGGCCAGGGCAGAGCAGCCGGCCCGGGGGAGGTGTCCCGGCCCTCGGGCTCCTGCCCGGTGCCTGCTGGCCCTGCCGCCAGGAGATGGCCCCCGCGATCGCGATCGGCGGAGCCCTGCCTGCGCAGGCAGCGCAGAGCGTGTGCCAGCCGCAGCCTGCTGGGAGCTGAGCCCGGCTGCCATGAGCTGAGAGGGCAGCGCGGCGCAAACACGAGCTGCTCTGAGCAGGGCTGCTCTGAGCAGGGTCTGCTCCATCTCAGCAGGGCGGCAGGGAGCCGTTCCCGCTGTGGGAAGGGCTCCCGGGCATTGTGGGACTCTCCCCGCACACATCGTCGTGTCTTTTGCAGACGTACACCGAGGAGGAGAGAATCATCATCACGCAGCTGCCTTTCCCCACCACGCTGGTGGATTTCTGGGCTCTGGTCTGGGATTACACTTGCACATCGGTAGTTGTGCTGAATCAACTGCAGGAGCTGGACAAGGTCAGCAGCCCAAGCTGTGGCAGCTCTCCCCTCTCCTGGTTCCCTGTGGGGCCCAGCAGTGGGATTGCTGCCTTTGGCCCTGCACGGATCTTACCAGGAGAGCCCTGCTTGCACCAGGACCTGCTGCAACTTGTGGGGCTCCACCTGGGAGAGCCCTGGGGACAGGCCCAGCACCACAGCTCCACAGCTGGGGACTGTCCTGGGTCTCACTGCAAATGAGCCTCCCTCAGGTTTTGTTGCCCCCTGCCCAGGCGTCCTCTCTGATGGAATGTTGTTCTCTGGCTGCAGCACTGGGTTGGTGCCCAGCAGTGCCTGGCAGAGCCACGTGCATGTGGCTTACGGGCGAGGGGCTGGTGTGAGCCCACCCATGTGAGGGGCTGAGCTCTGCCTGCGTGCAGGCAGGGGCCACGTGTGACCATGCACCTCTCGCCCTCCCCAGACATACGTGCAGTTCTGGCCCACCCAGGGCGAAGATGACTATGGCCGCTTCCATGTGCAGCTGATCTCAGAGGAGCCTGGCGCTGGCTTCACAACCTGGACACTTGTCCTCAGCAACAGGCAGCAGGTGGGCCCTTTGCTCAGAGCCAGCAAACTCCTTTGAGAAGGATCTTTGCAAGAGCTGGGAGGAGCAGTTGTCAGTAGGCTTTGATTTGGGCTCAAAGTCACAGCTGGAGATGGCAGAGGGATCTGGTGGGGTCCTGGCAGGGCAGTGGGCAGAGCAGAGTCTTTTGCCTAGGCAGAGAGGTTAATCCCAAAAAAGTGAGGCTGCAGGCAGAGCTAGAACTCAGAGGTGTTTTTGTGTGGCTCTCGGACTGTTCTTTAGTTTATTTAAGTTCTTACTACCCCAATTATTGTATTCCCCATTATGATTAGATGTGTTTGTTTTACAAACCATGTTACTACCCCTATCGTCAATGTTACTGAAATCCCCCTAGAAACCCCTGCTGATCCTTTTCTTCCCCACTAGTTTTATGATCATTACCCTAAATTCGAATGCCTTCCTGACCCTTCTTTTTGAAAAGACAAGGGGGAGATATTGCGGTGCATGCTATTTTCATTAAGTAGATTTTTGTTTGTTAAGTGGTATGCTCAGGTATCCCCCATTTTAACCTATATGGTTCTTCCTTAAGAATTCCCTCCCATTCATTTGTCCGTCACGTTGCTTTCTCCCTTTGTTCCAAGTCTTTTCCTGGCCTGTCAAGGTAACCAGGCCCTTTCTGTCTTGTCCATCACAGTAAACCCTGCCTTTTATTCTAGAATGTTCTTTGCCAATTATTCCTTGAACCAATCCCCTCTTAGACTGTGTCTCCTCCCCTAACTCTGATTAGTTGTTATCGTGAAACCACACCCTAAGAGTTACCCTATTGGTTATTGCATAGTATCCACCACCTGGGTTTTTTTGATAATTTAAAAATCTGTGTGCAGAGGTGCTTGGAGCTCTTGCTGTCTGTGAACCCTTGGTTTTTCCTGATTTTCTTCCACCTTTCCTCACCAGTAAATAAGTCAGAATGTCACCACAGAAGAGCCTGACCTGCCTTCTTTATCCAGTCCTTGCTGCGTCACCATAGAGCACCTTTGCAGAGCAGTAGAATCTGAGGTTCTGACTATAGCAACACCCTGGCCAGGTCAGTTCCCCACGCTTGTCACTCCAGAACTTCAACGAGCTAGCCAGGGCTCCAGACAGTGGCACCTTGGGTGTGGGATCTGTGACCAAGGTCATGCTGAGAGTTTGGGGGTGTACAGGGACGCCTCTGAGGCTCATCCCTGCCACCTGCCATCCCAGAGCAAATGAAGTTCCCCTTGCCCTCCTCCACAGGGATGGAGCCAGCCGCAGTGGGATCTTCTGTGCTGCTGGTTTCCTGTGTGAGCAGATCCAAAGCGAGGGCATGGTGGATGTGTCCCAGGCTGTGAGGATGCTGAAGAGGAGGCGGAGACAGTTCATTAAAAATGTGGTAGGTACTGACTTCAAACCCCGCTGGGATGGCAACACCAAAACAAGAGCCATGCCTTGCATTGCCCCAGTAGCTGCCCCAGCCCCTCTGTATTCAGATCATCCTGAGGCCAGGTGCCGATGAGATCTTTGAAAACCCCATTTTCTGCTGCTGGCACATACCCACTCCCTCAGTGACAGGTTCTGCAGAACTGAAGGGGCACCAAAGCATCCTGCCTGATGAGTGGCCCTTTTCTGGTCCACCTGCCTGATGAACACTTTGTGTCCTGGATGTTGGCTCTCCTGCCAAAGCCAGCTGGCTCCAGTGCTGGTGTAGCCCATCCTTCCAGCTCCTGGAGCACATGCCTGGATTCCTCAGCAGGGGAAGGTGGACTCCAGCTGGGAGGAGGAGGAGGGTGGACTGCACCTGTGTCTGGCATGCTGTGTGTCAGGAAGCTGTTGGAGACCAGTGCTGACATGCCACTGCAGCTGTTGGTCCACCAGAGTCTCATGTGCATCCTTTTCTCCACAGGAACAGTATGGGCTCTGCTATGAGCTAGCCCTCAGTTATTTGAATTCATTTGAAACCTATGGGAATTTCAAGTAGGGGCATGACCACAGCCTGTCTCTGAATGGGATGTTGGCTCCCTGGACATCCCTTCATCAGTAACAGTGGAAGCAAGAGGGAAAAAAAGGGATGTGCATGGCCCCAAGCTGCTTCACTACGCTGAAAAACCACCCCAAGGGTCCTCCATGGCTGAGGAACACAGGCTAGACTGTCTCCAAATTTTGGCCAGGTGTTGTTGAAATGGGAACCTGACCCTCTGTGCAGTATTTGTACAGAAACTTATGTGGAATCACAGCCTGAGTATGCAGACCAGAGCAGATGCACCAGGACTTCACCCATCCTTCCTTGCCAAGGATGAAGAGCACAGCTGTCCCATCCAGGTTCCCTTGTCCCCTCAAGTACCCCAAGGAACGTGGGGTAGCCCCAACACCCACATTGTGTTTGGTCAGAGAAGTCTCAAACTGCTGTAAGATCCATGGGGCTCAGGAGCACAGGATATCTGTCCTACTTTGGGAGAAGCATGAAGCCCAAAGTCAACAAGATCCAAGAGTGGGACAACCCATGGTCCTGCAGGGCCAAAGTGCTCCTTCAAACGCCACACAATCTCTTCCTGGGGCTGCATCTTCCTGGTGCTGCTGCAGGTGCCACTGCCCTTCCAGCTCCATAGAGGCTCTCTCATCAGCCTGTGGCTGCACCATGGCACTCCCAGGTTACAGTGTCTCAACGTGAATATCCTGGATGTGGTCCAAGCAGCACCACAGAAACAGCTTCTGTCTTTGCTGCACAAAGGCAGGAGACTTCAGAGCCAGGAATGACCCCATTGCTTTCTGTCCTGTGTCTCACCAATAAAGACCATGGTGGTGGTGACCCCTGATCTTTGCTTCTCTTCCAGGTTTGACCTGGCCCAGGGCAGCAAGGGAGCTGAAAGCCCAGAGATCCCACAGCATGGGCACAGAATACACTCTTGGCCAAAATGTGTGTGGAGGGCCATCACCCTGGATGGATTCCCACCACACATCTGCTCCAAACTCACATTAGAGCTGTCCAGCTCAGCTCAGTAGGTCAGAAAAGCTGTCAGGCACCACCAGGGGAATGCAGGATCACAGCAGCCCTGCCCGTGGCTCCCCTCAACAAGGCACAGTGACTCCCTGCAGAGGAATATCACCTCCCAGGGGCAATGAGGGGAGCAGGCAGAAGTTGTGTGGGACAGGCAGCCCCTCCAATCCATAAGCCTTTATTTGTTGTCCAGACAGAACAGGCAGAGTCACAAAGCAGTCCAGGCAGGCCAAGCAAAGCCCTGAGTTTGGCTGAATATCAACAGAGAGAAGGATTGGGAACCCAGAGGACAGCAGGAGAATGCCATCAACCTGAGTCTGTGTGAGTCTGGGACTGGGAAATCTGGCATACAGATCCTGCCTCCAGGAAAGCAAAAATGAAAGCAAAGCCTGAAAAAAAGCATTACAGAAAGCCAGATTGAAAGGCCTTACAAAAGCAGTAAGCAAACCCTGGGAGTTGAAGGGGCTGAGGAATGAAAAAGCTCAGCCCTCCAGGGCCTTCTGTTTTCCTCTTGCCCTGCTGAATTGGATGAATTTCATGGGAGCCCCGTGCTGGTCACAGCCACAGGAGAGCCAGGAGACATGGCAGCCATCAGCACTGGGCTGGGGTTATCCTTCCCATTTTCTCCACGTTGTTCTCACTGCTCTGGATGTCTCCATGGTCCTGGCTGGGGCTGAAGTGCCTGATCTCCAGCCTAGCCACTTTACCTGTGGAGAAAAAGGGCACTCAGTGTCAGAGACAAGCTGGAGCATACGGCAGTGCCTGCCACAGCCCAACCCTTCCATCCCAGCTGTGCCCAGCCACAGAGCCCCAGAGGTGCTGTCAGTGCTGAGGTGAGAGCAGCAGCCCCTCAGCCTGACCCTCCTGAGACCCCTCCCTGCAGATCCCCAGGAGGGATGGCACAGACACGGGTCACTCAAAGACCTGAGCCTTTGGGATGCTCGTCTTTGCTCACCCCGTCCCTGCTCCAGGCAGGGAGCACTGCCTGGGACCAGGCTCTGCATCCACGTGGGGCTCAGTGGGCAGAGCCATCCTGATCATCCCCAGCCAAGGCAAATCAGGAGATGTATCAGTGCAGCATGCAAACTGCTGCTTCTCCTGAAACCCAACATCTCCAGGGAGATTGCTGCTCTCATCCCACCCCACATCCCGATAGCCCCCTCTGTGATGGTTGTCTGCAGAATTGCATTTTCCTACCTTTTTAATTAGCCTCCTTAGTTTGGTTGGGCAAGTACTTCCTTTTCCTGGAAAGGGAACAGGGAGTGCTGGGTAAGAAGCTGGCATTGTGTATGTACCTGCTGACCCTGTCCCCTCCCTACTCACCTGGAGTGCACAAGCCACAGGATGACTGCAACCACAAGGAGGACTGCTAGCACCACAACCAGTCCAATCACAATCCAATGCCACTGGCCCACAGTCTGCCCTGCAACAAACACAGAGGCAAGGGTGAGCGCCACAGCCTGGCCTCCTGCTGGCAATGGCCCCAAGAAGGGCAAAGGGTGTGTGCAAGTGTGTGCATCTTTGTCCTGGCTGAGGTTTCTTCTGGGAGAGAGCATCACCCCTTGCGCTATTCCACGTGAGACACAAAAGCACTTGTACTGAGCCAGCTTGTTTCCAGGGAAGCTGCCAGGCTGGCAAAAGGGAACAGGCAGGAGAGTGACTTGGGCACACCGGGAGCAAGGAGACACTTACCAACAGAGAAGCTGTAGCAGACACAGGTGAACTGTGTCTATTGGAGGGCCATGAGCAGGGGCTGAGGCCAGAGGAGGGTGCGAGAAGGGCAGAGGGAGGCTGCCCTTTGAAGGGCTGTAGATATGTGTACTGAGCCCGAGGACAGGTCACCCAGGTGTTGCAACCCTAGAGGCACTGTGGTGACATCCTCCACCAGAGTAATCTAAACTTCTCTTTTCTCTTGTGTAAAGCTGGATGCTGAAGGCTTTCTCTAAAAGAAAAGGAGAACGACTAAAGTTTCCATGAGTAATAGAGATGAAGGGTCCCCATTTACCCATGCATCATCTGAATTTGTCATGAGATCCCTCTCCATTCTCACTTGCTGTCTTTACAGAAACATGTTCTGGGCTTATGCAGAAGTGTAGACCACTGTTCTAGTGAAGTGGAGCAAAAGGATTCTTTTCACAAACACTGGTCTCTGGGAGTGGGAAACCAGCTGAACAGACTCACAGGTTGTGACGAGTTTGTCTTGACAGTTTTCTCCAGGACCGAGCTAAGAAGTGGCTTGCAAGGTCCCTGTCACACCGTGGAGACCTCTGTCCTCAGAGAGGACTTAAAGCATTCTGAGAACAATGTCACCAGCACACACACACACTCCCACTGCTGGAGAGCAGTGTTTTGCTGTGGAATGTCTCCCAAATCCACAGACCGAGGAGATGCTTGTAGCCATGCTAGGAGAACTCAACAGAATGGTGTAGCTCTCTGCAGAAGGGGCTTTCAGGAGGGAATTTCAGAGGATTACTCAAACCACAAGTTTTTCTGTGTCAGGAACCAGAAACAAGTACGCAAGAGGCACAGGAAACCCAGGGACGACACCCCAGAAGATGCATCACCATGTGTTGCACACCAACCTCCAAAAGCCTGCTAAACCCAGAGCAGAGCAGACCCAGGAAGTAAGCCCAGAGGACATGGAGCACTCACACTTCTGTGGGTATCTCCACAGCAAGAAGAATGTTGAGAATGACACAGAAAATGCTTGTGCAAACAAAAGCCAGATATTTACAGACTGGGAACTGTGGCTCATCCCAGCTGTCCCGTGCCCACACTTCCCAATGTGCCTGCACAGAGCTCCAGGCCGGGAGGTGAGGGTCTGCCCTAATCTGCCTTCTCCCAAAGGGGCCCAGAAGGGATCTCCCAAGGTGCAGACCAACTTTACCACAAAGGGAAGTGCTGTGAGAAGCCCTTGTGCAGAGGCTTTGCTCTCCAAGAGCCCTGGTGGCAGAAGACCAGAGATGCCCAGCTGAGCACCACAGCCAGCAGCTTTGTCCCCTGGCACCCCAGCCGGGCTGGATGGAAAGGGAGAGACTGAGGGTGCTCACTGCAGCTCTCTGAAAGGGGAGCAGGAGGAGTCTGGGGTCATGGTGCACTAGGAAATTGAATGGGAACCATGGGGTGGATTTCTCCAATGGCACAAGCGCTCCTGTTCAGTCAAACATCAGGACATTTTGGGGGAGACAGAGGAAAGCCAGAGTGCTGTGTCCCCTGGGCTACATCACAGCGAGAAGGGAGCAGCAAAGGGATCCTGCCTCCCCCGAACCCGCTGAGCTGTGTGGCTGCAGCCATCCTTTGGGGCCATGGGAGAGCACAACAGGAGCCATTTCCTCCTGGCCTGGAAGCAGGAGCTGCTTCCACAGCCTCCATCCTCACAGTGCTGGGCCCAAGGCAAAACCCTGACCTTCCCATGCTGTCCCAGCTCAGAGATGTTCTCAGGATATCCCCCTGCAAAGGATTATCCTCTTCTGATCCCTCCCTTACCAATGCACTCCACATTGGACTGAATGCGGACCCAGGCACCTCTGGAGTCTCTTCCACGCCAAAATTCTTTGTACAAACGTGTCCCATAATGATCATCATACTGGAATTGAGTCTGACACTGGATCTCAGTGAAGGACGGCTGGAAACCTTCAGGGCAGCTCAGCATCACTTTCGCTCCCTTCTTATAGTTCTCCTGGTCTGGTACCAGCTGGAGTCTGGAGTCCCTCTGAAGCCTTCTGCACCCTTCTGTCAGAGGTGAAAGTTGGTGGGTGAATTACTGTATTACTACTGCTCAAGCAATTTTCCCCATTCATTCAAAACTGAGGTGCAGAATCTGTGCAATCCATCAGGAACAGCTCTGTTCTTCCTGGGAGGGAGCATGAATGCCCTGAGCTGTGATAAGAGAGTGCTAAGCCTGCACCCACCATGCTGCAGAACCTGGAGGGGCCCAGCCCACATGGAACAAGCTGTGGTGCTCCTAGCCACACCAGCAGTAAAGCCCTCTGATCCTGCTTCAACAGTGGTGCCATGTGCTGGCCACAAACTCCACCACAAATCCTTCTCCCATGCTTTTTCCTTTGTGCACATCCTCCTGCCAGAAGGCCTCAGGGAGACCCTTATCACCAACACCCGCAGTGGTGACCTGCGGGCTGAACTTGACACCTGCCATTTCCCCGGGCAGCATGGAGCCCAAAACCTCCTGTGCCCCACACCCTGCTTTCTCTGCTCAGGAAGGACAGAGCAAGACAGCCCAGAGGGCTCCTGATCCCTCCCTTACCACTGCACTCCACGCTGGACCGAATGCGGACCCAGGCACTGCGGAAGTTTCTTCCAACCCAGACCTCTCTGTATACAGGTTTCCCACCAGAGAAGGACTGGACTTCGCTCGAACATTTGACATGGGTGAAGGACGGCTGGAAACCTTCAGGGCAGCTCAGCATCACTTCTTCATTCTTCTTATAATTCGCCTGGTCTGGTGCCAGCTGGAGTCTGGAGTCCCACTGGGGCCTTTGGCACATTTGCAAAGAAGGCTGCTGGCTTGTGGCAGGTGCCCTTGTCTGTTGAAGGCTCTGCAAGAAGGTTTGTGAGGCCTGAAGAGGTTTAAAAGACAACCTGCCTTCTCCCAAAGGGGCACAGAAGGGATCTCCCAAGGTGCAGACCAACTTTGCCACAAAGGGAAGTGCTGTGAGAAGCCCTTGTGCAGAGGCTTTTCTCTCCAAGAGCCCTGGTGGCAGAAGACCAGAGATGCCCAGCTGAGCACCACAGCCAGCAGCTTTGTCCCCTGGCACATGGCCATGACCCACCTCATACTCAGGCACCCTGCCACTGATCCTGTGCCAATCCATCTGTCTGGCAAAGCAGCAGCAAGCTTCCTCTTGCACTGCCCTCAGCAGGCACAGTGTCCCTCAGGGACACCTGGGGGTAGGATGAAAATGACACCTCCCTGAAGACCCTTCCCCTGATTCACAGTGTGTGAACTCATGCCCAATTCATACCCACTGTCTCCAGGGAATGATTGGCAAACTGCTTTTCTGGAGAGCATCACTGCACATCCAGCCCTGTGCTGTCTGTCCCCCAGAACCCCAGTGCACACTGCATTGCAGCTCCTGTCCCTGGGGCAGACAGAGGCTGCCCCAGCTGACACAGCCCTCAGGGGTCTGTCTGGGTTCCAGCCTGGGGCTGCAGGCAGTGAAGATGAATATCCAACACAGAGGAGGAAAGGCAGCAGAAGCTTCCAAAAGGAAGAAGCACTTCTTACCTGGTCCCTGGGGCACTATCTGGATGCTGAAAAAATCGTCCTCGCCATGTGCTGACAGTAGAGATGCAAGGGCCAGGAGAAACCTCAGAGGCAGTGACTGCAGGGCCATCCTAGTGTGAAGTCCCCAGGCAGGACTGAAATCTCAGACCCACTTGCTGCCTCTGAGCCCAGGCACCCGTATCTGACTGCAGGGCTTGCAACCACAGGAAGGAAACAGACACATCTCCTCATGAGATGTAGGAGCTTCCTCTTCGGGCAGGGAACCTCCCATCCCTGTCAGAACTTCTGCCTTTTGATATCTTTTTGCCTCAGGAGCATCCAGGCTCTGGGACTCAACAGAGAAGGAACCTTGTCACAAGATCCCTGAGTTTCCTCCCAAAACTCCCCTAGTTACTAGGGCATGCAAGAAGTGTTACTCCTGTTACTGAGGTAATATCCAAGTGCTTCCTGACACTGCGTGGGCTTTAGAGTGGTGATGAGTCACTTCCCCTCAATGATCACAGAAGATGGAGGACCTTTGGGACGCTACATAAAGACTGGTCAGAAGCACAGATAGGAATGGGGACACGAACTACAAGGAGTACTTCAGTGCCTGAAACAGTCTGTGGCCCTTCTGAAAGAAAACACTCAGCCCACACCCTCTCTCATCCTTCCCCGCTTCTCTATCCTCAGCTGCCTCCTCCTCCTGCTCCCTCTCAGGCTGGCAGCACTCTCCTCTGTCCCCAAGTGTGCAGGACATGCTGCCCTACAGTGCCAGCTGTGTGCTCGAGAAAACACAGTACTAAACCATGCCTCTTGCTCATCAGCAGCCACAGCTTTTCTCTTCCTCCAGAGCCTCCCATCCACTTTGGATGTCTCGGATTTCAGAAGGCTGGGTGGTCAGACATGGGTGGCTGCAGAGGCACAGAGACGTACTTGTCCCTCAGCTTTGCTTGTGGCACATGCACAGGACACGCTCCTGTCCAGGGTAAAGGGTGCCTGCTCATGGCTCCCTTCAACAAGGTGCAGGTAGCTCAGGGAACAGCACCTCACAAGGGCAATGAGGTGACTAGGCAGGAGCTGGGGGCAGCAGGTAGCGCTGTCCAAACCACAAGCCTTTATTGACTGTCCAGACAGAGCAGGTGGAGTCACGAGGCTGACAGCCCAGGGTATGACTAGGGACGGTGGGATGAAGGGGGAAGCAGGGTAGCCAAGGAGGTGGCAACTCTTCCCCCCTATCCCAAGCCTGCTCATTCCCCTTTTTCAACCAGAGGCACCCACACAGTATTGAATTTCTCTTCTCCTGTCTGCCCAATACCCACAAAGAGCTGCTCCATCAGGCAGACACGTCACACCAGCCACACTTCACAGGAAGGAGATATTTTGGTACCAGGTGCCAGTTGCAGGTACCGAGCTGATGAGCAGACAGCTCATATGAAGAACTGTCAAAACATGTCTTTACCAGCACATGCAAGTCATGCCAGGCTGAAAAGAAGCTGGAGAAGGGAAAGGTCAATTGCTCTGCGTTCTGACAGTGTACTCCTCCACAAGGAGAGCCTTCAGGCTGCCCCTCAGCCTCCAGGCTGCACTGGGTATTGGCAGGTTTGACAGGGGAGAGAGACAACACTGAAGCAAAAAAACCATAACAGCTTTGTGTTCAGGGCTGTAAAAAGCACAATAGGCACCAGCAATAGTGTGATTGTGTTCGAGGGTCCCAGGATGAGGGAAGAGATGAGAATCTTGACTCTATGTCTCAGAAGGCTGATATGTTATGTTATGTTATGTTATGTTATGTTATGTTAATGCTATACTAAAACTATACTAAAAAAATAGAGAGAAAGGATCCATCAGAAGGCTGGAAAGGAGTAGAAAGGAATTATAAAATCTTGTGACTGCTCACAGCCTTGACACAGGTGGCTGTCATTGGTCATCAAGTAAAAACAATTTCACATGCTGGGTAAACAATTCTCCAAATCACATTCCAAAGTGGCAAAACATGGAGAAGCTGAAGCTTCCCAGCTTCTCAGGAGAAAATATCCTGGCAAAAGGATTTTTCATAAAATGTGTGTGACACAACAGGCACTGAGTCCAGGGAGCTCAGGAGAGCCCCTGTACCCAAGGGCAGGAGGAGATGGAATCATCACAGGCAACACACAGAGCTGGAAAAAAGAGAAGTTGATTGCCCCATTTGCCAGCAGTGCAGCTCTCACCAAGGAGAGCCTTTGGAATCTCAGGATCCAGGCTGCACTGGGCACTGGCACCCCACAGGGTGGGAGACAGTGGCTGTTGGAGGGATGGGACAGCAGCCAAGAGCCAGCAGATCCCAAAGGCTGCAGGACACAGATGCCCCAAGAGGGCCAGTGCCAGCTGCACCTCACAAAATGGGAGATGGGAGAGGACACAGACCCACAGAGAGGTCCAGCCATGCAAGTGGAGATGGTGTTACCTATAGGATGGGGAGGAGGGAAAGCAGCCACCCAAAGCATTGCACTGGGAGCAATGCAGCACCTCAGGTGTGCTTCCTTGGAGCTGTCAGGGGCTGGAAAAGCCTACTCCAAGCTCCTCCACGGAGATTCATGGGGTCAAGACTTTCACAGACAAAACAAGGAGGACTCATGACAAGGTGGGAGCTTTTGTGGGCCAGGCAGCCCCTGCAAATGACAAAAATTTATTGGTTTTTCCAGATACAGCAGCAAAGTGGCCAGGGCAGCACAGCTAGGCCAAACTCAAGCAGAGGACAGGGTATAGATGGATACAAGAACACAGCCTGGAAAGAGGAGTTGTGAGCTCCTCCAATCTCAGGGAATATATGCAGGCACCAAGATGCTGGTGAGATGGCTATGCCAGAGCACTCGAAAACTACCAGGACATATCCTTGCTGTCATGAGGAGGTCATCCCATGCCTAAAGCTGCTCCTGTGCTGTGACAGAGGACTCTGGAGCTTGATGAAGAAGAAAATTTTGGGGGGAAGCAATAACTCATGGGATAACTCATTGTCATGCTTCTGGTGGTGGAGGACCAAGTCTTGAGAAGGGAAGTGCCTCAGATGTCCACTCCAGCTGCTCTTCTTCCTCACTGCTGAGTCTCATGAACAAGCGGGGAGCGGGGAAATGGCTCTCCAGCCTGGCCACACTTACCTGAGGAGAGCAAGAGAACCCAGGGCAGAGGCTGCTGCTTGCCCTCGGCAACGTGAGGAGCTCAGCAACCATCAGAGCTGGCAGTCTCCACTCTCTCTGTGCCATGTGGGCTCACAGGCAGGACAACCTATTTCCTACCTGCATCCTTCTCAAGAAAATTCTCGATCACGCAGTAATTATCCCCATGTACATTCTCATAGGGCTGGAGATCTGGAGGGGACAAGAGGACAGAAACAGCCTGAGGGACCCGGGGGCTGTGGGAGAAGCAGCAGGGCAGCCTCAGGCAGGCAGCATCGCCAAGGGCAGCAGATCATCCTGGGATGCACACCTTCAGGACAGCAGGGCTGGGAAGAGCTGCTGCCTACTCCAGAGAGAGTGAGGAGGAGCAGTTCCCAGTCCCTCACTGGTGTCTCAGGGACACCCCAGCCAGGAGCTGCTGGAAGAGGCTACTGAGCAGGGTCTCCGCTGGGAGTGGATGTGGGAAACATTGGACAGGTCAGCCAAAGCCAGCTGGGCTGCCTGGAGCTGCCTCAGGATGCCACTAGGCCCTCCTGAAATACACTGCTCCCCTCCCAGCTCCAGCCCTGCAGTCCCCTCTGTGCTGGGAATCCTACCTGTGTACTGATCCTCCTCAGCATTTCTGGGCAAGGCCTTCTTTTTTCTGGGAAGGCAAAGGGCAGTCCTGAGTCAGGGAGAGGCTGACCTGGGCCAGACCCTGCTGAGCCCAGCAGCAGTGGCATGGGGGGTTCTGCACACCCTCCCTCTGCCCTGGCAGGCATCGCCCACCTACACCCCAGGGGACAGCAGTGGCAGCTGCACCAGCAACAAGGGGAGAGGGTCCCTCAGCACACACGGCCCCATCCCAGCCCTGAAGAAGACACTTAGACCACAGCTAGGAGCCCTAGAGCAAATTTGTGTTAGGACCAGCCAGCTGCATCATCTGCACCCAGAGAATGGTGGGAGCAGCTGGGGACCCCTCTCTACCCCACCCACCCCACAGCACAGCATGGCCTGAGACAGAACCGAGACTCCAAATCTCCTGCAACTCACCTGAACAGCATGAACCAGATGACCCCAGCAGACAAGGGGATCAACAGCACCACCACCACCACTACAGTGACTGCTGACCCAGGCCAAGGGCCTGGAGGCTGCCCTGAAACTAACACACAGAGAGAGAGCAGTGGGTGCCAAGCCTGCGCCGTGCACCAGCAGTGGTGCACCAGCCTTGCTGCTGGGTGTCTGCACGTGTAGAAATGCATGTCCAGACCCTGCTGCCCTGGCTGCTGCAGGGACAGGCAGCAAGCCTTCCCCTGCCTGCACGTCTGCTTGGGTAGGGCAGAGGGAGGCTCTGGAGCACAGGGCCTTGTCCCATGGCCCCAGCTGGAAGGTCTGGCAGCCTGCTCAGCCATCCTGCACACTGCAGAACACAGACCCAGGCTCAGCAGCCCTCGTGCTCTCTGACCTTGAGCCACCTGTGCACCCAAATGCAGGGATGGGTGTCACCTTCTTCAGTGGAACAGTAGAGGGGGCAGGTCTGGTATCAAAGGCACACACAGTGGCTGAAGTGGTGCAGGCCCTCTGCGGACCTGCCAATGAAAGCCCTCAAGGAAGGACTCCCCCAGCTTCATCCTTGCTGAGCCCACACTCCCTGCCCCTGTCCGAGCTGGGACACGGTGGGTGCACACACAGGTCTGGAGGCTGCTCCAGACTCAGCACTCACCCCCTGAGAGGCCACCCCAACAAGACACAGGGCAGAACAACCATTACCCCGGACGTAGGCTTCAAATTCCAGTTGTGATGCAGCCCCAGCCCCAGCTGCCGTCAGGCCCTGCACTGTCACCAGGTATTTGCTGCCAGCTGTCTGATGAGGTGGCGCATATGCAGAGACAGAATGGTTCAACAACACCTGACTGAAATCAAGGTAGCTGCCGTCCTCTACTCTCACGGTGGTGATGTTCAGCTGGAGGAAGGACAAGGAGCTGCTAGACAATAGCACCAACATCCTGCTTCTGCACTGGGCAGCTCTGTGGAGAGGGGCTGCCTCCCTCTGCCCTGGCAGGCATCGCCCACCTACACCCCAGGGGACAGCAGTGGCAGCTGCACCAGCAACAAGGGGAGAGGGTCCCTCAGCACACACGGCCCCATCCCAGCCCTGAAGAAGACACTTAGACCACAGCTAGGAGCCCTAGAGCAAATTTGTGTTAGGACCAGCCAGCTGCATCATCTGCACCCAGAGAATGGTGGGAGCAGCTGGGGACCCCTCTCTACCCCACCCACCCCACAGCACAGCATGGCCTGAGACAGAACCGAGACTCCAAATCTCCTGCAACTCACCTGAACAGCATGAACCAGATGACCCCAGCAGACAAGGGGATCAACAGCACCACCACCACCACTACAGTGACTGCTGACCCAGGCCAAGGGCCTGGAGGCTGCCCTGAAACTAACACACAGAGAGAGAGCAGTGGGTGCCAAGCCTGCGCCGTGCACCAGCAGTGGTGCACCAGCCTTGCTGCTGGGTGTCTGCACGTGTAGAAATGCATGTCCAGACCCTGCTGCCCTGGCTGCTGCAGGGACAGGCAGCAAGCCTTCCCCTGCCTGCACGTCTGCTTGGGTAGGGCAGAGGGAGGCTCTGGAGCACAGGGCCTTGTCCCATGGCCCCAGCTGGAGGGTCTGGCAGCCTGCTCAGCCATCCTGCAGAACACAGACCCAGGCTCAGCAGCCCTCGTGCTCTCTGACCTTGAGCCACCTGTGCACCCAAATGCAGGGATGGGTGTCACCTTCTTCAGTGGAACAGTAGAGGGGGCAGGTCTGGTATCAAAGGCACACACAGTGGCTGAAGTGGTGCAGGCCCTCTGCGGACCTGCCAATGAAAGCCCTCAAGGAAGGACTCCCCCAGCTTCATCCTTGCTGAGCCCACACTCCCTGCCCCTGTCCGAGCTGGGACACGGTGGGTGCACACACAGGTCTGGAGGCTGCTCCAGACTCAGCACTCACCCCCTGAGAGGCCACCCCAACAAGACACAGGGCAGAACAACCATTACCCCGGACGTAGGCTTCAAATTCCAGTTGTGATGCAGCCCCAGCCCCAGCTGCCGTCAGGCCCTGCACTGTCACCAGGTATTTGCTGCCAGCTGTCTGATGAGGTGGCGCATATGCAGAGACAGAATGGTTCAACAACACCTGACTGAAATCAAGGTAGCTGCCGTCCTCTACTCTCACGGTGGTGATGTTCAGCTGGAGGAAGGACAAGGAGCTGCTAGACAATAGCACCAACATCCTGCTTCTGCACTGGGCAGCTCTGTGGAGAGGGGCTGGACACTAGAGGGGACCTGCCCCTACCAGAACACCAGCAGGGTACAGCCTGTGGGCTCTGGCCAAGGAGGGCTCCCCTCTCTCCTCAGGCTGTCTGCACAGAGCTCCAGGCAAGGTGAAGGGGACCACAGGCACTCCGTGGACTCCTGGTACCTGGTATCCAGTGATCTCCCCTTTGCAGGAGGGCAGTGCCTCCCACCTGATGGTCCCTGTTTTGGAATCCATCCTCAGATTCTCTGGCTTGTCTGGCACTAGAAGCAGAGGGGAACAGGATCATGCCTGGATAGCAATTATTTGTCCCCCACAAAGGCTGCTTGTGCCTCTGCAGCCAAAATGGTGTGGTGAGGAGGGGGAAGGCCCTTCCCCAGATCCCCACAGGCTGCAAGCAGCTCTGACCCCAGGATCATCACAGCAGGGAGCAGATGCTCTGACTGAGCTTCAGGGTGACAGGCACCCTGACATTTCATGTAAACATACCCATTTCCTTTGTCATGATGAGGTCTGTGTACAGGATTGTGCTAGGCAGCAGGGAGATGATGACACTGTAGACCGTGAAGGGCTGCAGAGGGGAGCAGATGAATGTTCCCTTCTGGCCTAGTAGTTTCTCCTCTACCTTCACGTCCTCAGCCTCACAGTTTGAGGAATGGTACTCCATCCGGCACCTGGCCCGAATGTGGTGGCACATACGAGGGAATTTGCAGGTCCAGTTCAGTTTGATGCTGGTGCTGGAAACCTCCAGGTTCTCATGGAAAACCTGGAGGACATCTGTGAAGGGAACATTTCAAGAGGATCACTCCCTCCCTCCCCTCCAAGCCCTGACATCAGACTCCATCAACCCCCCCATTCCCTCACTTGCCTGTCCCCAGCACAGAGTAGACAAGGACATTCTGCCTTCTCCCAGACTACACGTGCCAGAGTTGCCAACAGCACTGACATAAACCTGGCATGCTTCCAGAATTTTCTCTGGAATTCTCTGCTGTGCCCTGACCACCCTGAGCACGGGGCACTGATGCTGTGCCACACATGCAGAATTGCTCTCCATGCCTGGGGAGGACAGACTGAGAGCACTGGGACAGTGTCTGGCTTTGTCTGGCTTGCTCACTTACCCACACAGGTCAAGGTCTCTTCCACAAGGTGCCAGGTGTCTGTGCCACTCTTCACTATCCAGCCACTGCGAGGAATCATGGAACCTTCCTGTGGCTTCAATGCCACACATTTGATCTCCATGTATGGAGGCCAGTACCCCTCAGGACACCGTATCTTCACCACTTCATTTGGGTTGAAGGTCCCTTGTTCTTGGTTAAAGAAAAACTTGGAGTCCCACTGGGGCTTCTGGCATTTCTCTGCACCAACAAGATGGGAAAGCGTTAGCAGGGCATGGAGCAGGGCATCCCCTTCCCTGGCCCTTCAGAGGAAAAGGTGAGCTCCAGGACACTGCACAGAGCAGCCCTTCCACATCAGTTCTTGGCAAGAGGATGAGGACAAGAAGGACTCCAAACTTCTTCCCCCAGGTCTCCTGGGAAGGCCTAGGAGGAGCTGGAGTCAGGGACTGAGGGGTTTGTACTGTGCACAAAGCCTCTGGTGCCCTGTTTGTCGCTCAGGCAGGATGACAACACCCTGATTCCTCCTGAGAAGGCAAAAACTCTGAGCCCCAAAGCTGCCTCTGCAGTGACAGCACGCAGCAGGGCCAGGGAGGGGGAACCAGCACACGAGGAGAGGGACACGCCTTTACCTTGTCCCCTGTGCCACAAACACCTGTCAGACCTGCAGCACTGTAGCCCTGACTTTTCAGCACATGACCAGAAGCCCTTAGGGAGACTTGTATGTGCCACACACCACCCAGCCCCCTGTGAGCACAGCCTGAAGCCCTGCATGGTCCCTGGCCTCCTGTGCCATGGGCAGTGCTGGTTACTGCCCAAATGGCTACTTTGGTATCAAGGGAGGGACCTTTGTACCAAAACTCCCTCCTTTAGGCCCTCAGGGACTAAAGCCGGCATCAGCCATCTCCCCTCCAGGGAACCCCAGGGCAGGCACAGAGCAGACTCGGGAGCTGCCTGGACACTGTCTTCAGCAGCACCTGCCCCAGGCAGCACAGAGCCAGCAGCTGCCTGTGCCCCCCAGGCTGCCTTCCCTGCTCAGGGAGGACAGAGCAGGGCAGTCAGGAATGCTCCTGAAGCCTCCTTACCAAGGCACTGTACCCTTGGGCTGAATGTTGGTCACACTGCCTGTCCTGTCCTTTCCAGTCCAAGCTTCTCTGTGTATAGGTTTTCCATTGATAACGGACAGAACTTTTCCTGTACATTTTACATGGGTAAAGGGTGCCTGGAAACCCTTGGGATAGCTCAGAATCACTTCATTTTTCCTGTAACTTTCCCGGTCTGGTGCCAGCTGGAGTCTGGAGTCCCAGTGGGGTTTTTGGCATGTTTCTGGCAGAGGTGAAAGTGCATGTTAGTTGGGCTGGGAGGTTTCAAGGAGGAGAAGAGTATGTGGTGAATCCTCAGCAATCCCCAGCAGACCCTCTAGCCAATGAAAGGAGAGGGAAGGTGACACATCCATCTGCTCTGATGGGACACCTTGGCAAGGCCGGTTGGGATGGGGCTTTCCCTGTGGGTGAGTGTCAGCTGGGGCCTGTCCAGGCAGGTGGTGCACAAGGATGTGCCAGAATTCAGTCAGGGAATGGTCTCAGGTATCAAATGCCTGAGATCCAAGCGGCCCTGACATGGCATTAGAATTGCATCCCTGGCCACAATGATGATGGAAGCTCAGAGATGGATGAACGGGGCAGAGATTGACCAGAGTTCGTTAGGAAGCACTTCCTGACACCCTGCTTACCAATGCACTCTATGTTCTCCTGAACCTGAATCCACACACCACTGCTGATTCTTCCCAGCCACACATCTTCCTTTAGGGACGTGGAATAATTCAGTGGCTGCACCCCGTTTGCACATTTGACATGGGTGAAGGACGGCTGGAAACTACCATTGCAGCTCAGAGTCACTTCTTCATTCACTGTGTAGCTGTCACGGGCTGGTGCCAGCTGGAGTCTGGGGTCCCACCAAGCAGGCCTTTGGCATGTTTCTGTCAGAGGTAAAATTGTGTGAGTACTTCTGGGAGGTTATCAGAGGAGGCTTGGGACAGGTCTCTCGTGACTCTGACTATTCACCCCGACACACACGAGTCTCATGTGCCCAGGCACCCTCCAAGCACACAGGGCTCCTCATCACCCCACCTCCAGGACTCACAAGCCTCCCTTGGATTCTGCCCCTCCATGGGGTATTTAAGCCCCCATTTTCTTGTCTCCCTCATGCACAGGTGAGGCAGGCTGCAGTCACAGCCTCCCACACTCTAGACAACCCAAACCCTAGAGAAGCTTTCCAGGCAAAAAGCAGAACCCCTGCAGCTATTCCTACTTCATGCTGAGGCAGGAGGTGCTGGCTGGGAAGGATTCCTCTCCCCAGGAGCACAGACCCCAGCAGGTGCCTGCAGCAAGGTGCTGAGACAAAAAGAGCCTTGTCAGTGCCAGGACACGGGGAAAGCCAAGGCATGCGGGTCTGCCATTCCTGCACTGTCATGTGCATGACCAGGCCACAGAGGGTCTGCCACCAGCTCAGGACCCTGGGTCAGGGTGGTGCAGGGCTGTGCTCACCCTTGCAGGTGGGAATCTCATTCCACAGGATCCGGCCCCCTCTGGAAATGCATTGAATCTGCGGGACAGATGGTGCAAACTTCCCAGGAATCTTCCCTTCACAGCTGAGCTGCACCACTTCGTTCAAGGCAAAGTCACTCCTCTCTGGAGTAAACCGCAGTTTGGGGTCCCAGTCGGAGGGAATTTTACATTTTCCTGTGTGCAAAGGCCAGGAGGCAGAGCCTGAGGGTCACTGGGCTCCAGCAGCATCCATGAGGATGAGGGAGCTCCATCCAGAGGGGTGCCAGTCCCTGTCTCTTCAGAGGGGTGACAGAGATGGCACCTCCAGGATGAGCCCCATCCCCCAGATGCTTTATCCCTCCCCACAGCCTCAGGGGCACTGCAGGAGGGTTATCCACAGGGTTATCCTGCTGCTTGGAGACACCCCAATCAGAGAAGTCCAGCAGCCTGGGGGATGCTGCTCTCTCCCACAAATACAGGGGCTGTGGGAGTGCACCAGGCCCAGGAAGTTTCTACTGCCGTTCCAGACTCCACAGCTTGGTCCCTTAGAGTGAGTGCCAGCAGCAATGGTAAATAACAGGAGTAAAGTTGCAGATAGCAAGAGAAAAAATCAAGCAATTCTGCAGTGGAGGCAGTAACTACAGGAATGAGGCAGACAAAATGAATCGTCTAAGTCCTTGAAAGGGGAGAAACAAAAAAACAACACCCTTCTCATCCAGGATGTTTACCTGTGAGCTAGAAAACACCCAGTTTTGATGAGTTTTGTTACATTATTCATTACCCTAGTGATGAATCCTTGCTCTTAATTGTAGTAAAAATCCCACGTTCTCAGTTCATATGCCTCTTTCTCTCAAAAAGACCACCACTCCTAGCATGTACCATGATTTCTTGGAACACAGTGCTTTTACAGTAAAGAAGGGAAAAGATGAGTCATAGTAACGCAGGCAAGCAGTGACTTCAGTAAGAAGATTGTATCTCTGTCAGTATACCTGTTTTTTTCTGCCTCGGTGTACTGGCTATGTGGATTTGCCACCAAGCACATTTTTCTGTGCAGAACTGTAAATAAATACCCTGACTCTGTGTGTTAATCAGTTTTTTCCACACTGGGTGAAAGAAGCTTTCAACTAGAGTCTGCCCCTCACACCACCTAAGTTCACACCAGTGGTCACAAAGCTCACACCCTGCCCAATGTGCTAAGCCTAACCTCTGCACTTCACCCAAAGTGAGTCTGCCTTGTCCTGCCCTGGCAGACATGTCACCTAGACTTGCTCACTCAGTGCAAAACAAGTCCATGAGGAGGCACTGGGCATGGAGCTGGCCTTCCCTGAAGGAGGATAAAATACCTCTCTCCAGCTACAGCTGCCCACTTCCCTCAAGCCAGCACTCACCACTTCCCTTTTCTGGCAGCAGGTTTCCACGCCATCATGGCAACCCTCTTCCCAGCTCTCCACCCCAAAGGACAGTGGTCACCAGCTCCATCCTTTTAGACCACACAGTGCATGCATGAAACTTCCTTCCCCTCAACAGAGTCTTTCCCAGTGCCCCCAGAGCACACACCTTACTGACAGAAAACTACCTGACAGACATGAAACCCTTGACTGGGTCCCAGCCTCGTCAGGCATCCCCCTCACACACCTTCCCCCCTCCTGCCATTAAACACCCTGAAGTAACACACACCCTGCCCGAGGGTGACATTCTTTTGGGTCAGTCCCAGACATGAGCACAGACTAGGAGAGAAGAGGTTCCATCCTGGCCTGGAAAGCTGAGAGCTGCCCACTGCTGGAAGGGTGTCGGGGTCGGCTGTTACTCGTCTCTGCCCCAGCGTGGGAAAATGTGGTTCTGGGCAGGCCGTGCTTTGAAGAAGGAGTCTGGACTCTTGCTTTTCGGTCTTCAGTTGAGTTTATTGTTCCTTATCTACAGAGTTTTTCTGTCTGTCCAGCCAAGGTCTGATCAGCAAGACAGCCAAGGACACTCTCCCTCGCCCACGGGGCAGTTGTCTCTTTTATAGTAAAAACTACATATAAGATATTTACCTTCTATTTCCAATACTTTTCACCCTTGTTAACAAGGGCACCTGCACCATGAACCAATGCACACGTGCCAACATCATCCTGAACATGGATGCCAAGAAGAAGAAAGAAGAAGGACAGGGCACACCCAAATCCCTCCATCTTGGGACTCCTGACCCCCATGTAAAGGATTCCAAACCCCCCTGTACAAGGTTCAAAACCCCCCTCTACAGTGCTCCAAAATTTTTCCCTTCACCCTGTGATTGCTACTACTATGCTACTTAAACTTTTGTGGCCTGTAATTCTATATATCAGGTTGGCAATTTGCTCCATGAATTAAGATTGAATTTCCAGGTGTCTTTGGCTTCCTGCCAGGATCTCCGAGCCCCTGCCAGGGCTTTGAGACATCCAGGGCATCCAGAGAGATGTCCTGGGTTCCAACATAAGGGCAGCATTCCTTGAGCCACCAGTGATAGGCAGCATGACTCACGACCCATCTGATGGTTTGGCTAGCCACTTATCCCATTTCCCTACAGAGAATACTCACAGCTCAAGTCTCCTAGCCATGCTGTGCCCCATGGACAGGTAGCAGCAAGCCCAGGGCACAGCACATAATCACCACAGGAAAGCCCATTCTTTGTAGGAAGAGCCTAGCAGAGACCATGGAGCTGTCCCTAACCCTGTTGGCATGGAGAAAGAACAGAATAAGCCTCTTGATATGAGCAATCCCACCAAACTACAGCTCCCTCAACCCCAGGGACTATGGGAGAGAGCAGGCATCCCAGCTAACAGAGCTCACAGATCACATCTTTGATGGACACCATCATCGCCTGTGACAGGGGTGCTGCTTGAGCTGCCCAGAAAGGCCATCACTGCCCTGATTGCTCTGGATTCATCTGTCTGCTGCATAACAAGATCCAGCCACCTCCTGCTCCCAGAAACACTACCCACTTCCTGTGCAAGTCCCACATTCATGGAAGTTTCCCAGCACACCAAGGCTTGCTGCCCTCCATCCCAAATAGAGCTTTGTCCCACCACAACATGAAGGAACAATGCAGATACCAGCTCCAGCCCTCCCACAGCCTGTTATGGACTGGGCAGGGTAAAGCCATGTAGCAAATACACAAGCAGAGGAGCAGCAAAACCATTTCTGTAAGAGAGAGGAACAATCCGCTCTTACCTGCTTCCTCGTGTACCCACGGAGTCACAGGAATGTAGTACATCTGTCCCCGTGCCAGCAGCAGAGAAGCAAGGGCCGGGAAGAATGTCAGGGCCAGCGCTGGCAGGGCCATGCTGGCATCAAGTCCCCGGGCAGGACTCGGTGTGAGCCGCTCAGGAAAGGTGTGTGCACAGGCGAGGCACTCACACGGAAGTGAGACAGCCCCACTGTCTACAGAGGGGAGTCACATGTGGTGCAAGAAGCTTCCTCTTTGGGAAGAGAGCATCCCACCAGCCTCAGTGTGGATTTTCACACATCTTCCTGCATACAGTGGGTGCAGGCTCCATGCAGTCTCCCAGGTGTCTTAGCCCAGCCTTTTTCCTACCTCAGGCTCCCTTAGCCTTGCTCCAAAACAAGCACCTCCAAAACCTTCTCAGGTCTGTCTCTCTCCTCTCTCCTTCCAGATCCAGTGGAGGACGTTGAGGAACACACCCGTGATTAATGTGTCCAAGCCACCCTAGGCTCCATGCATCACTTTCTCTTTCAAATCCTGGAATTATTTTTGTTGGAAAACACTTCTATGATGATCAAGTCTAACCACTAAGCCAGCACAATAATCCCACCACTAAAACATGTTCCTAAGTACCATATCTACCTATTTTTTAAATACGTCCAAAAATCTCTCTTCTTATTACCTTGAACTGATCCAGATGCAACATTCTTGCTGTTGAATCCTATAAATAGAGCTTCCAGATCAGACAAGTTCCTGAACCTGGAAGTGCTCTCTTTTCCTTTCTTCTCCAAACCTTTCCCACACTGAGCTGCTCTTTGTCAGTGCCTTTTAGGATGGGAAGCACTCAACAGGGGCAGCGTGGACAGTATGGGGATAAAAGGGTCTCCTTGGAGTTGGATGGAGGTGTCTTGTTCCTGTTTCTGTTGAGCTCAGGTAGGATCTTAGGGTATGGGAGAGAATTCCCTAAGCGCTCTTTATTTGGGGCACACTCACACTCCCCCAGTCTCCTGTCCCTGCAGATGTCACCACCAAACTCTTCTCTGAGCCCCTTTTCAGCTCACAAAGTCTTGCACAACTTCAAGCTTCCATGAGTCCTGACTCCCTGTGCTGTTGCAGCTCTCCTGGGCCATTCCTCTTTCAATTCTGTGCTTTACAGAGTCTCTCTCTCTGTGTTTTCCTAGACAGACCAGCACAATTACCTTACAGTGCAACACTCAGTGTTCTGGGAATGGGTGCTGTCACCCAGGGTGGTTTTCACCACTCAGCTGCAACTCATTGGCCCTGAGTCCCCTAGCAGATCCTTTCCCAGGAACCACCATCCTCAGGACAGCCCTTGGTGTATCTATCTGTATTATCCCAGTAAACCAACAACTCCAAGGGCTTTCTGCAAACTAGGTGTCTCCTAAAGTCCATTTGGGAACATCATTACATCAAGTCCAGCTGTGTCACATGCAGCAGCTGTGAGGTTAATGGGTGAAGTCTTCTAGAAAGCTTTCAGCAAGAGGAACAGCAGCACTGAGTTACATCCTTCTTGTTTCCTTGGTAGATCCCTGTCCTTTAGGAACCAGGTTTTTCTTGTTCCTGTGCAGGAGAATGGCTACAGCCAGCACTCACCAGGTCTTATCCTGGTAAAATTCCAGAGTTAGACACTGACCCTCTCACTGACTCTCTTTGGTATGTGAAAAGAGCAAAACCAATGGAATTAAACAGCCAAGCTTCAAAAATTCACAAGTGGTACAACAGGCCTCCTATTATTCCTGACAAGATTATTTCTTTTCCCCTGTCCTGAGGCCTGGAAATCTGTGTTTGGCCTCTCCCTCCATAGAAATTTATCATTGTTTTGAGATTTGTTGTTTTCTTGGTGTATAGCATCCATTAGAAATCTGCTGAAGGAATTCTGAATGCCGGCACACTCAGCCATATGCATTGAATTCAATATCATTGTAAATGTGGTTGATTGGCTGTTTCCTGAAGTTCCATTCGGTTCTTGAAGAACTACCAGGACTCAAACTTTCAGACTGAAGAGAGAAAAACCCAAACCACCTGAAATTTACAAACAGATTTACTTCTGGTAGAGAAGAGCACTGAGGGCTCAAAACCATCCACAAAACCACAAGGAAAAGGAGAAGTAGCTGTGGCTTTTGAGAACCAGGCTTCGTGAAAAGCCCTGCTAACACAGCCACCATGTTCCCCTTTAGCGAAGTCTATTATTGTGTCAGAACTCACAAACAATAGCAGTATTTTAGGGTCTTATTCTCCTCCCCAGCTCACACCTGCCCCAAGGGAGCCCATTGTGGGTTGTACCTGTAGATGGTGGTGTCCGATGATGGTCAGGTGATGGGGTGGGCTACAGACAGGCTGGGATGTCAACCCAAAGCTGCAGGGTCAGGCTCAGGCCTGAGGAAGGTAGCCCAGTCAGATCCATCCCTGGGAAAGCCAGGAAGGGGTCTGTTCCCTGCACAGCACAAGCACATGACGCTGTGTGACCTGGTGGTCTGGGTCCCCACATGGTGCTGGTCCCTCTCCAGGATGCAGAGTCTGCCTCAATCAGGGCTGCAGCCTGTGCTGCCAGAACCTAGAGCCTATTCTGGCAGGGAGAACTGGAAAATGCCTAAAGGATCCAGCCAGAATGCAGTATTGAACCCCGCTGTGGTTCTTCCTCACCCCTCCAGCAACTTTCCCATCCCCACCAGACCCAAGCCTCCTTCACTTGCAGTGCCATCAACGAGACAATGGCCCATTCTCCATGCCACCCTGAAATTAGGAACTGTCCAGCCCCTTTCCCAAAATGAGGATAGAGCACAGACATCTTAAACCCCCACAGCTCCTCTACAGAGCTGGGAGTAGAACGCCAGACCTGTGGGCAGGAGGAGGGTAAGGGGAGCCCCAGCAGGGCTGGGGTGCAGAGGGATCAGCCCTGATCCTCACAGGTGACAGCCTGGTCACAACCAGTTATCATGGTCTGCCTTGGGCCCAGTAAAATATCTGGGAGGTCTGCAGGGAGCTTTGCTGGCCTGAGAGAGGGGTGGCACTGGGGCACGCTTGTTGTCACCCAGCTGGTGGCAGTGGCAGGGGCAGGGACTCCCTCTCGTGCAATGCTCACCCAAGGCTACAAAGGCCAGCACAAGGCTACCATCTCTGCTCCTGTGGTGGCTTGAGGAGCTGCCAGGTCTGACCAAAGACAGGTGTGCTGAGAGCAGAGCTGTGAGACGGGAGAGCCCAGCATGCTGCAGGGCTCCCAGGAGGGCATTCCTGGGTGCTGGGCAGAGCAGGGGCAGGCCCTGAGGGTTGGATAATCCCTTTGCTGTGACTGCTACGTTGCCTCTTGCCAGGGGAGGAAGCAGGATCTGCTGACTGCTTTCCACAGGGAGCATCTCCCCACCTTTCTGAGTCCACTTGCACATGCCTTCTCCCTAGAAGCACACAGTCAAGCTTGGCAAGACTCTGCCCTGGCACTGCCACCATGTTTAAAATCCCTCTGGAAATCTACAAGCCCACTGCCCAGGCCATCCAGGCCCTTCTGGCCTGGTGCTGCTGCCTTCACCAGCCCAAAATACACCCCAAATCCTCTTCATGCTCAGACTGCCAACATCTCCCATTTGGCTGTGCATTTGCTGACTGC